CTAAGCCCTAAACCCCCCTAAAGCCCTAAACCCCCCTAAGCCCTAAACCCCCCTTGCTCAGTCCGGTCTCGCACGCTGAGAATGGACGAGCCCATGCGTTTGGCATCCTCGAAGCCCGTTTTCGCCTGGCTGGTCCGAGGTCTTGGGAATATAGATAGCATATGAGCCATAGTCTAAACTCCTAGTATTCCCCTTAATAACCCCTGTAGTAGTCCCCCTATATAATCCCCTATATAACCCCCCTTTAAGGAGTTTAGACTACAGCGCATATTGGGAATTCTATGGAGGTTTCAGGGGGTTATAAAAGTCTGTGTGTGTGCGTGTGTGTGCATGGGGTGGCTGGCCATGCTTTCGGCCGTGGATCAAGCGCTCTTCGGCCCACCATCTCAGTCATTGGCGTTCACGACTGCCCTAGCGCACCCCCGGATAGTTTCCTGCAAGCCTTTAAGATTTTCCCATGGAAGAGGCCCAAGTCCGACAGTAGTTTGAATATACAGATCCCCAAAGTGCCCAAAGTGACCATGTAGGTATATGATAAATGCTCCGGGCCCAAAAGGGGTTCCCCATACCTACGTTAAGGCCCCAGTAGATACCATCTAGCTACATGGACCCTTTGGGAGGTGTGAGGTTACGCACTCAGCTACCGAAGACTCGCAAAGGTTTCAGGGTTTAGAGTGTAGGGTTCAGGATTTGGAAATTGGGGGTCAGGGCGTAGGGTTTAGGTTCCGGAAAACTTCTCTGAAGTTTGTATGTTTATTCACTCAGCTTTTGGGAAAATGAAGACATGACAACGCGTACTCCTCACTTTGAGGTTCATGAGACTCAGTAAGTACTTATAACTGGGCATGGAACCAGTCTTATCATCCCCCCAACTGGACGTATGTGGGTTACGGCAGATATAAATAAGGTTCTAGACCCTCTTATACGTACCTACTAGTTAGATGAACCTTCAAGCATCTTCAAAAAAGCCCAGCTGTGTCCCAAATCCAGCTAAAGCCCCGGTATGATGAATAACCAGATGGATCCAAAAGGTGCGTGTTCAATAGATAGGTATGGCCCGTGTGGTAGTCCCCTATAAACCCCTTATATAACCGACTTTAAGGAGTTGAGACTATAGCTCATAGGATCCTGGGTATGTATCCGTGGTCTCCCTAAATTGGACACCCAATCTATGCACACGCAAACGTTCCTCTATTCTTAGACACATTGACCACATAAACCACAAAACGATCCTTCGATCTATAAGTTCTATACATTCTTTGTAACTTGGGTGCTGCCGACCCTGGCTAGCACGGCGACTAGAAGAAATCTTGCGCCGCCCTATAACCAAAAAATGATAGGAATAACTTAGGAGGACCCCCCACC